ATCAGCGTAGCGGTAGCAGTTCAAGCTAATCTCACGTAATTTACGTCTTTTCGATGATTGGTTGATGGGTAGGCTAGCCTGCCCTGCTATGTAGGTGAAACACTCGACGGTGATTGGCTATTTTTGTTTTTTAACCGACTGAGGCAAGAGGCTGGCTATGGAGTCATTATGCGCGGTTGTAATGTCGGCAGATTTGGCACGTCCGTGAAAGAAAAGTGGTGCTTTCGACTTGTTACGGCGGTGAAATTACAAAGAGAAAATACACATTCTGAGCCATGAAATGAAATACCTGGGAATTTTATTAAAGCAGGACTATGTAACTTTTTCAACCTTTATAATATTTTTTCCAAATTTACATGCTGATGAATGGGAAATGTGAAAAAAAAAAACTAAATATATTTTCTTCATGAAAAAAACCAAAACAAATCGGGCATAAATCTGAACATTTTTACACAAATAAAGGCTTAGTACTAGAGCATAAATGCAATGTACCATAAAAAAATAATATTTCACATGCAAGCTAATGGTGTAGTTGAGGAATTGTGTGGTATATGGATACTTTATATCTCCAAAAACACAGCATTAATGAATAGATGAGAAGTAAACAAAAAAAATGATATATTATTTGTATGATTAAAAATGTATATTTTTTGTACAATGACTCAATCGACTGTGGGGGTCGTATAGACCCCGAAGCCCAGAAGTGTAAACAGGAAACAAAGATCATTTGAAGGTTAACCAATCACTGTCAAGATGCAGCTCAGGACATACTGTATGTATGTCACGTAAAGCTCGCATAATTGCAGTGTGAAACCAAACCAAAACTCTCTGGAAGTATAAAATGTATCAAAACGTGAACTTTCATGTGTGAAAACACCCTTAAAAAACTCTGATTGGCCAACATATATTCTAGAGAGCTCTATGTTTGCATTATGGGTCTGTGCTGTGTGATTTAATGCCATTACAAAACCAGATGGGAAAATGAATGATTGAGGACTGTGTTTGGTCAGTTGTAGTTACATCACAGCGTTGTGCAGCCGAGAGAGAGAGGGAGGTACACAAAACCTGCCTGCCATTTAAATCTCCTGATCGCGTCCCAATCCGCCCCTGCCATGCTGAGACGCCTTAAGCTGCTTAGGGCCTAATCTGGGCCCTGGGCTTTTATGTACAGTGTCCGGAGAGGAGGGGCTAAACTGTGGCATGTGACCAGGGGAAAGCACCTTCTTTCAGGTGGGCTTATTTAGAATCCATTCATAGGCTGGATCTTGGTGATAACATGTTATTGTGAGTGACTGTGGACAATTTTATGTGGGTTTGTCTTTAGAAAAGCAGACACATTACTAAATGGTATATTAGAATGAATGTTGATAGGGGTTTGTGGTATGTTAAGTCATTTGTGAATATCAGAACCTTATGAAGACAGTGTGGTTCAACATAATGTGTGAGCTTTGTGGTTAATGTCATACAAGTCTATACATTTCCTGGCAAGCTTTATTCTTCAACAATACTCAATTCATATACAACATTCAGAACATTGGCAATTAAGCCATTTGGTAACACTTTACTTGAAGGGGTGTGCATATATGAGATTGGGTTTATGCATGTTTATGACGACCGTCATTAAGTGTCTTTCGCTCGATAATGACATTCTGAATGCAAATATGACATTGTTTAAGATGTCTTTGTTATAAACCAATACATCATAACCTGTCAGTGTCTTTGTCATGACAATTTGACAATAAATGAAGTTGAGGCTGTAATGAGGCATTATAACTGTCATGAATATTTTTCGTGAGCTCAACTGCAGTGGTACTAATTGAATTTGTCATTAAAAAGTTATAATGGCTTCATGACGGCCAATGTCTAAAACACCCCCTGACAGTTTAATGAAATGGTAACCAATAAAGCTAGGTGGTGATCATTAATCTGCTATGTCATGTTTATGACAGGTTGTGTTGTCTTAGTAATGTCAAGTTGTCATGACAAAGACACTGACAGGTTATGATGTATCGGTTTATGTCAAGGTGTCATAACAAAGATTGTCATATTTGCATTAAAACTTCATAACGGAGCGAATGACACTTAATGACAGTTGTCACAAACATGCATAAAACTTCCTTCATATTCATAACATATGATGTCATGTCATGATTATGAAGGTGTCATGTTAGTCTTATGCACACGCGTTCAAGTTAAGTGTTACCAGCCTTTTTAACAACTTATTCCCATTTTAATTGCATCTAATTGACATAATTAATGAATACGCTTGTTTGTATTTTCATGTTATATATTACTAGAAAATGCCTTTACACATTGCATGTCTTGTTGTATTGCAATTGCATACAACAAGAAATGACCAAATTTGAATTAATTAAAGGAAAATTTGACGGAAATACACGGATGTAACAATAATAACACCCTAATTAATTCCCATCATATCTTTAGTCTGTCTCTAAACTTCCATCTGGTTATGGGCAATTAAAGTGATCCACAAATTAAGTAAACTCTCATTTTACAAATGTAAATGTATTGCTTACAGGTTGCAAAAATATGTTAGAATGCTTTCGACAGTCGTTTTGGATGTCAGCCTACAAATGGTTTTCTTATAGTGTCTCTGTAACCAATAACACACAGTTCTACATAAATCACGCACAAAAAATCTGAATATTAAGTGCCAACAACGGTGCATTTTAATAGATGGCTCATCTGCAATTGAAATGCTGCTCTTGTGTAAGCCCTATGAATTGCATGTGATGCATTATTGTTTGTCCCTGCAAGGCTTTTCCCTTTCTCATCTTTATATCTGTCCAGGGCTGCGTTTCCCAAAAGCACAGCAAGCCTAAGTGGATCGTAGAGAGCATTGGTGGCAATTGTTCTACGATTAACTTAGGTTTGTGATGCATTTGGGAAACGCAGCCCAGCATGATTCAGTTGGTGTTCATTTACCGATTTACCACTTTTTTTAAAAAAACAAGATGAAACTGCTACAGTATAAATACCCTGAAGTTTGTTTGAGTGCTCTGAATTGGAAATTGTGATTGACAGCACTTGGCCTAAAATACTAATTGATTACCATTGCTCTGTGTGATGACCGAGTTATCGACTTGAAACGGCTTGTTTTTAATGTAGCCTCTGTTTGTCTAAGCAGGGTCTAATTTATTTGTCAAATAACATCCCACGGGAACAGCCGTCCTGGCGTCTCTAATGAACTGCCTAAGAATGAGTCAGAATTCCGATGCGTACAATTCATGGGTACGTCTCACAAACCATACCCACAATGCACTACCTACAGCAGCAAACACTAATTGGCACTGTCACTTCTTAAGGTTGTGGGGTTTACTGAAGCAAAAATAGTGCGGACTGAGTTTATGTGTGTTTACATTGCATTCTTGCAGGTTTAGTGGTCACAATGAAGGTCTGAAATGGACAGATCTTGACCGTTTTCACTACCCCTTTGTTAAGTCAAACGCCAGCCCAGGTCATTTTTGGCTGTAGATATGACATGCTATGAATGTAAAGTGAGTGACTGCATGGGTATCTGTAGCATACTGCAGTGTTTTCATATTTAGGAGTAATGTGCAGTCACGTCTTGGACACTGCTGCTAACATTTGCTATCAAATGTCAGCGCCATGTTGAAAGATCATTAGTTGCGTCCCAAATGATTCACTATGCACTTATACACTATGGGCCCTATCTTGCACCCACGCAAAGCGGGCTTTTCCATCCACAGACGCATGTCGGTAAACTGGGAAATGCGCTCCCTGGGTGGGTCGGCACAAAAAGCAACCATTCCCTAGTGCTATTTTACACTTCCAGAAAACAATTCCTCCACTGACCAAAAAAACCTGGTCTAAAGTCAGTGGCGCGTTGCGTGTTGTTCATAATGCTATTTTAAAGCGCGCATGCTTGGCCATAATGTAGCGGGTGCACAACGTGCATACACTTTGATTCTCTCATCAACAGATGCAGCATTTATTTTTGCAAATCATACATTATAACAAGGAAAAATATGAACACATGAGTTTCATCCATGAAGATGAAAAAAATGTTGGCCTAAATCTAGCTTACACATTTACCCAAATATTTCAGGCTAATTGTGGTAATGACGGATCAGACCTGTTTGCCCAGTAGTGCCGTGAGGACATCTGACAAATTAGTTTGTCCGTCAAGAACCAGGGGAAAAAAAAATCTGCAGACGGTGAAATCACCTGGTAAATTAACCATTATAATAACAATCCACCATGCAACATGCACACCAGCTCTTAAAGGGATACTCCACCTTTTTTGGCTCATTTTACCGCTCCCCCAGAGTTAAACAGTTGAGTATTACTGTTTTCGAATGTATTCAGCCGATTTTTTTGATATTTAGAAGAATATTACTAGTAACCAGACAGTTTCTGATCTCATTGACTTCTATAGGAGCCTATATTTTTTTTCCTACTATGGAAGTCAATGAGACCAGAAACTGTCTGAATATCTTCTAAATATCAGAAAAGCAGCTGAATGGATTTGAAAACGGTAAAACTCAACTGTTTAACTCTGGGGGGGAGTGGTAAAATGAGCCTATTTCCAAAAAAGTGGAGTATCCCTTTAAAGGGTATGTTGGATGATGCTCTGATTGGTTTATTTCACGTTAAGCCCAAACCACACTTATGAATAATGAAGCTATTTCAGACCAACCCCCGCGAATAGCAACAGCGCCCAAGACCCGCCCACAAAGTTACTTGCGCTTCACACTTAAAACTAAAAATAGAAAATAGTAAAAATAGGGCTCTATGTATTTAACCATGTGTGTATGAATTTTATAATTTTTTTACACACTTTTTTGTTTTTGGTTAAGTGCATCATCCGAATATTTAATGTAAAGTATACTTTTTCTTTTTGGAATTTGGAATTCAGTGTATATTAATAAGTATAAGGCAATTATAATAATGCCTCTGAGTTTGCATCCCTGGATGTTAAATGCTTATCAAAACTTTTTTTCTTTTTTCCTCCACAGATTATCTCTGTAGTCCAGAAGACAATTTGTACAATATTGACTTCACACGCTTCAAGATCAGGGATATGGAGACAGCAACCATACTATTTGAGATCACCAAACCACCGGCCACAGGTGAGTGTGATCACAGTCATGTGATCAGCTGTATAGAGAAAAGATAGATCAGCAGCAGTGAGATGTGATATGCTAATATATCAGATATAATTTGTCCCTAAAAAGGTGTTTATTAGTGTGAGGTTACATGTAGTAATTTAGCAGGTCATTTTGGCTTTTGACATTGTATATAAAAATAATTACTTAAAAATAATATAGCTACAAGCTGCAATTATGGGGCCAGGCACATCAAAGCAGACTGAATAGAGAAATGAGCAAAAGCACAATATTAGGCAGAGCAGGTCAAAGGTTCTGTTTTGTTTTTTGTTTTTTTACCCAAGCTTTTATTTCATTTGGTAGAACCATTGCCAGAGTTATAAAGGGGTATTAATGATTTTTGACCACTAGGTGGTACTGCAAGTCACATGAAGTTTGCTGAAAATGAACAGAAGACTGACATAGGATGTGATTCATTATGTAATGTGCAGTGTGTGTGTGTGTGTGAGGGAGAGAGAAAGAATCCTTTTAACTCTTGGTTACACAATCAACACAATTATGAACAGACACACACCTGTACATCAATTACAGTTACACCTGTACATCAATTGTATGTTATTTAATTCTCATTGTGACATTAATCATCTTTTTTTTCCAGATAAAGGAGGGGATAAAAGAGATGTTGATCCAAACGCTGGGCGGTTTGTACGTTATCAGTTTACGCCGGCTTTCTTACGGCTACGTCAAGTAGGAGCCACGTAAGTACAGTTTTTAAAATCAGTCGGTGTATATACACTACCATTCAAAAGTTTGAGGTTAGTAAGATAGTTACATAAATACATACACATTCACACACCGGCCACTTTATCAGGTACACCTCGGCATGGATTCAAGAAGGTGCTGGAAACATTCCTAAAGGCCAATTTATACTTCTGCGTTGGGTGCGCGCAGTAGGTACGGCGTAGCATACGCACAGACGCGTCCCATACCGCGTACCCTTCGCCGTCGCCTGACGCGCACCTCCTCAAAAATGTAACTACACGTCGCGACGACGCGGACCGCAAGATCGGTGATTGGTTGGCTTGGTAGCATCGCATTTCCTCCTACGCATTTCCGCACGTACCTTCTCACGCATTTCCACCACTGTCTATGATTTCCACAAGTTTCATCTCCTCCGAAGTCTTCTCTCATTTCTGCCTTTCAGTTTTAGTAATTTCACTAAAGTGAACTGTTTTCCCACCTTAATAAGCTCCAATTCCAACATGATCAGCTCTCTTTCACTCGTAGTAACCTAGCCGCGAGGAATCTAAACACAGTGGAACATTAAAACTCTCCGCCGCCAACTAGCGTTTCGGAGCAGTACTGCAGAGCAACCAAGACCTGAACGCAGAAGTATAAATGCTCACAACGGCGTCGCCTACGTGCGTAGCCAACGCCGTACACTACGGCGTACCCTCGACGCAGAAGTATAAATTGGCCTTAAGTGTTAGACATTTTATAATGTTACAAAAGATTTCTATTTTGAACTGTCTCATCAAAGAATCCCGAAAAAAATGCATCACTGTTTTACAAACATATTAAGCTTTACAACCGTTTTCAACATTTATAATTATAAGAAACGTTTCTTGAGCATCAAATCAGCTTATTAGAATGATTTCTACAGGAATCACAGTAATAAGTTATAAGCAGCCTCAGTGAGAAGATACTTTTCAAAAAAAGGTTAACAACCCCAAACTTTTGAATGGTAATGTATCTTGCCCTTTAATGCACCAGTTCCCTAGAAACCATCAGGTCAAGTTCAACCAATCAAAACTATATTTGTTCAAATTAAAAAAAAACAAAAAACATGTGGAATATCATTAAATATTTGCATAATTAGATCATTATTGGAGTCCTGTCGTATCATATTGTCCTATACACATTTAGAAAATAAACTCAGTAGCACGTTAAAGGACACACAGTTGATGTTCATTAGTTGAGCTGTCTCATATTCCACTACTACAGGCATATAAAGACGTATTAAGGTCAGACATAATAATCACAACAAAAAGAGCATAAACCATTTCTCTAAATTAAACCTATTGAATAAATCCCATAATCATGCTAAATGGCACAATGTAGAGGTAGATGCAATAAGCTTCTCATTATAAATAATGTATCCAGTTCACGTAATACATTGAGGAAAGGAAACAGTTAATAAGTAAACAACTATCTAAATTTCTATCTAAAGAGCCTGATCTCTGAGCTGAACATCGTGTCTACCTTGTGTGTGTGTGTGTTTTTAGTGTTGAGTTCACAGTAGGGGACACCCCCATCAATAACTTCCGGATGATCGAGAGGCACTATTTCCGTGAGCAGCTGCTGAAGAGCTTCGACTTTGAGTTCGGCTTCTGCATCCCCAGCAGTAAGAACACCTGTGAGCACATCTACGAGTTCCCGCCGCTCTCAGAGGATCTCAGTAAGTGCCGTCCACATGGCCAACGGAGGCTGGGGTCGCATAGGTTTTTGTTTTTTAATAAAAAGTCTCTTATGTTCATATAGGCCGCATTTATTAGATCAAAAATAACATAAAAAACAGTCAAGAAATATTATTACAATTTAAAATGATTTTTTTTTCTGATTTGATATATTTTAAACGTAATTTATTCCTGTATAGTTAAAAAAATGTCCGTGCAAATATATGATATTTCATATTTTTTATATATGTATGTATATATATATATATATATATATATATATATATCTTAGGAAACTATAATGAACTTTTTTGATCCACTTAAAATGTTGACTACTATATATATATATATATATATAATACTTATAATATATAATACTTATAATATATAATACTTATAATATATATACTTATAAGTGCATGAATGTGTGTGTTAATGAATGTTTATACATTTTAATATATATATATATATGAAGAGTTCAGATGCAAAAGCCTCTAAATGCCATTTGAAATTTTCTTCTTTAATGATGATTTTTATCAAGCTTGTATATTTAAGTTCAGTAATTTCACTTAAATAACAATTAATAGGTAATTATCATTGCCATTTAAGTGAAATCACTGCACTTAAATATACAAGCTTGATAAAATTGACCATTCTAGAAGAAAATTTCAAATGGCACTTAGAGGCTTTTGCATCTGAACTCTTCATATATATACTGCATATGTGTATGTAGTTTATTTTAACTTATTTTTTAATGTAATTTAATAGAAAATGATGCGTTGCATACTTAATTTTTATTTCAAGGATTTCATCCTTTTAATCGGGTTCATTATCAAAACCATTTTTTTACTTTGAGTCATTGAATGCATAAATTGCTTTTTAAATGTACATTAATAGACACAGACAAGTAATGAACATCATGTCATTGACCTAACGGCATCTATGAGCTTTTTAAAAAAAAGAAAAAAGAAAAAAAAAAGCTTCATAATTATCACATTATCTGCATATCTCAATAATGATTCGAGCTCTCTGACGTGTTTTCTTTTATTTCAGTACGTGAGATGATCCTCCATCCCTACGAGACGCAGTCCGACAGCTTCTACTTTGTGGACAACAAGCTGGTCATGCACAACAAAGCAGATTACTCGTACAGCGGAGGCCCGTAAGACGGCGGTGGGACGGGACTGCGGCAGAGAGTTTGACTGACAGACCTAAGAACCAATCACATGTCTTTGTCCAGCAGACTGTCACGCCCTCCTCGAATCAGTGTCATAGACGACTACCTGCAGTGCGCCATGCCTGTTGTTGAGATCTAAAGTGTCGTATCATAAGGTCTTGTTCAATGCATACATATCCTGTTGTGATTTCACACTGCCATTGTTCACATCAGCAAATATAGATATTATATTTTGTAACTTACCCCAAACATGAGTATATTCACTCTAGTCCCATATTTTTTATGGGCAAGGCACTGTAATGTGAATGGTACTTAGGTTTTACTATTCATTGTGTGTGTGTGCGCGTGTATGAGTGGGGGTTTTGATTCTGTGTGTGTGTGAGTGAGTGGGGGCCGTCCTCACAGTTTAACACAAATAAGACTATATATTGTTGATGTTGAGTATTACTTTCCCTGTCAGAATAAGCTACATCAGAATTTCATACCTGTGAACTTTTCATCCTAAATAGAATATAATGATTTTATGGTGAGACCTCGATTTAATTGATAGATTTGTGTTTAATTAGATATATTTTGATACGTGAACAAACTTAATTTTGAGATGTTGATTATTTGCGTGGGTAAAAACAAAAATCAAGCAAAAAATGAAGTCAAATCAATCCAAGAGGAGTTTATGGTGCGCAACCGTCATGAATATGCAGATACTAGGAACTTTTTGCATCCAAAGGTCTGCGTAAAAGCACATAATTCATGCTGCGAACAGAGGTTGTGTAGATAAAACGACGTTTGTGCAAAAAACAAAACAAAAAAAAAAACGTCTGCCGAAAAGGGAACACGGCACACGCTGCAAGCCTTGACATTTCAAACGTCTGTGGTTCGTGTGGTTTCTTTTTGTCTCTGTAAAAAAACAAAAGGAATGAAATATCCGTCTTAAGAGGAGTAGTTCAGAGAGATCATGAGTCTCTTCTCATCTCTCCATCACACATTCCAGTGAGCCAGAGCCCTCTCAGCTGTTAGTGCACATAGCAGAGGTTAGGTTTATGTCTTATTCATAGTGCAGAAAGTGCATTTAGGAGGATGATTTAAAGAAACTGTTTAGTTTATGAATAAGGGGGAGGCTTTCAAGGAATTGTAAGTGTGTAAAATGGAGGAATAACTTGAAAATGTTTCTAGTCAGACATGTAACAGCTTTATTTATAATTGTGATTTATTGTAAATGATTTTCAGAGGGGAAAATATGAAATGTTTTGGACCGTTCAAATGCCTGTGTGGAATAAAAGAGAAATAAATGTATATGTCGATTTTTTTTTTTTTTTTTTTTTTTTTTTTTTGGAAATTACTGAAGTTGTCTATTTCCTCATAGGCAATTATTTTGAACAAATTCTTATTGTTTAGCACTAGCAAATTTAGATGCTTATTTTATTTGAATTTAAATATACACTATGGTTAAATTTGTGGGAGAAGGGGGGGGGGGTTAATTCAACAAAATAATTTGTGAACTATCAAAGCAACTAGGGGGGAAAGTAGCCTACCAAGGTTAAAGCAAAAATGTTAAGATGAACAACTGTTTTCAACATTGATAATAATAAATGAAGACTGTTAGTAATGGCTGCTGAAAATTTTAGCTTTACCATCACATAAATAGAGTGCCGAGGTTATGGCGTCACTTTTTAGGCCAAAACGCGAGTTAGCATTTTAGCACTTCCGGTTCGCTCGCCCTAAAGTTTGGGATTTTTGAATGGGTTTTTGCCTGCTAAATCTGCTGAAATAAGGTATGTGGTTAACAAAGCCTCTAAATATTTTCACTATGACATAAAACACACCAGTTATAACCTGCTTGTGCTTTTTTAAAACTTTGTGTGTCTGCTTGTGTTTTTTTAAACTTTATATAGGCTTCAAAATGTATAAATTGTGGATTATCTTGTAAAGATTATCTTGATAGACAAAACGTGTAAGGGTCACAACAACCCTTTGTTGAACACAGATCTTATTTTTTAAGCGATTTTCCAAAAGTCTATGGGGAAAATGCATAGCTTTTCGATCGAGGGAAAAAAGTGACGTCATAACTTCGGCACTCGAAAAGACATTCAAATAGAAATGCTATGTTGAATTGTAGTAATGTTTTACAATATTGCTGTTTTTTGGTATGCAGACAGCGTCATCTTTGAAAAATATTTAAAAACCTTTAAGAAAAGGAATAAACCCTGTAAAACAAATGCAGGTCCCAAGATTAACCTTGCATTTGCAATTTATAGTACATCAGTACTTAAATATACTCCCATTTATGAACAATATTGTTACTGCAGCTGCTGTGAATTAAAGTTCTCACAAATTTGCACAAAATTAGTTTTATTTGACAAAAAGTACATTCTAAAAAATGCAGTGGAGTTTACATTTGAGCATTTAGTTACATCTAAATTAAGGGGCATTTCTTTAACTCCGCTAGCTTACAAATAAAGATTTATGATTCAAATGTCTAATTAAAATGTATTAAATAGACAAGGATCCAAAAAGGGATCTAAAATATAAAAGGTCTTATCCAGACCCTATAAATTAAATAAAATTTCGTGAACCAGCACAAATGGAAGAACAGAAAACCTACTTGTGAAGCCACAAAGTATGTAGATAAAAAGGTTCTGCATAAACCTGAACTTGGATCAGATTTGAGCCACATTGGGGCAAAATGCGCTACATGGAGTCAACTCACATTTACAAAGTCCTCATACTTGAGGGACTTTTAATATGTAAATAAGTGATGCATAATTCTGAACTCTAAATAGAGGCTGTAAATCCTTCCTGGCCACTTCATTTAGTGCTTGAAAAGATCCTTTCAAGAGGTTTTGAGAAAAACTAAGCTTGCGCTCCATAGGGCGCTGACGAGGGCATGGACGCTACACACTCTAATACTGCATTTTCTGACACACTTGTGCATTTGATGATGCCATTTTTGGATTAGCTTCCTTTCTCCCCTTTCTTCCCCTTCAGTATTCTCACTCAACCAAACGTGTACACAAACGTTCATGGTGTATGTGTGATATTTGTGGCGTTGGCCCATGTGGGAAAGGTTCCTAGGTTGAACATGGCCATTCCCCATGTGTTGATGCCGAGGTTGATGCACAGAATGCCAATGATGTTGAGAATGAAGCCCGCCTTTGCCTTCAGACAGAAGGAAAATACAATTATCCACTGATTTTTCCATATACAATGTATTTTCACATTCAAATCCCACTTTTAAAATCCAGTGGAACATCAAAACTCATGTAAGATGTAGTTAACCATACCATGTCTAAGACTTTGAGGTTGCCGTAAGAGAAAGCGATGGCGTTGGGTGGAGTGGCTACAGGAAGCATGAAGGCCAACGAGGCGCTGATCGTGCAGGGCAGCATCACGTAGAGCGGATGGATCCCGATAGTTGTGGCCTGAGAACAGAGACGACTCGTTAGGAGGTTGAACACTTCAGCTTCGAAATGTACTTTTAGGTCGAATGAATGTGTGTCATTTATGTTGTAGGATAGGTTTGGAGGGTTTGCTCACCATAGAGGCAAGAATGGGCAGGAATAGTGTGGTGGTGGCCGTGTTGCTGGAACACTCCGTGAACGTTCCCACCAGCAAACACAGAATCAGGGAGATGGCGAAGGGTGGGATGCTCTGCAGAGGGGCCAGACTCTCACCCAACCACACCGAGAGTCCAGACGCCTACACAAACATCACATCACATCACTTCACATCGCTCCACATCACTTCACATCACTTCACATCACATAACATCACTTCACATCGCTCCACATCACATCGCTCCACATCACTTCACATCACTTCACATCGCTCCACATCACATCGCTCCACATCACTTCACATCACTTCACATCGCTCCACATCACTTCATCACTTCACATCGCTCCACATCACTTCACATCGCTCCACATCACTTCACTTCACGTCGCTCCACATCACATCGCTCCACATCACTTCACATCACATCACATAACTTCACATCATTCCACATCACTTCACATCACATCACATAACATCACATCGCTCCACATCACTTCACATCACTTCACATCGCTCCACATCACTTCATCACTTCACATCACTCCACATAACTTCACATCGCTCCACATCACTTCACATCACTTCACATCACTCCACATAACTTCACATCGCTCCACATCACATCGCTCCACTTCACTTCACATCACATAACATCACTTCACATCGCTCCACATAACTTCACATCGCTCCACATCACTTCACATCGCTCCACATCACTTCACATCGCTCCATATCACTTCACATCACATAACATAACTTCACGTCGCTCCACATCACTTCTTATCGCTCCACATAACTTCACATCGCTCCACATCACTTCTCATCGCTCCACATCACTTCACATCGCTCCACATCACTTCACATTACGTCACCTCACTTCACATCGCTCCACATCACTCCACTTCACTTCACATCACATAACATAACTTCATATCGCTCCACTTCACATCACTTCACCTCACATCACTTCAAATCACTTCACTTCACATCGCACCACATCCCTTCACATCACTTCACATAAATCCATTTCACATCACTTCACATCAATCTATGTAACTTCACATCGCTCCACATTGTTTCACTTCACATAACATAACTTCACATCAATCCACATCACTTTACCTCACTTCACATCAATCCACATCACTTCACATCACTTTACATCGCTCCACTTCACTTCACATCACATAACATAAATTCACATCGCTCCACATCACTTCGCAAGTTCGCATCACATCACTTCACATCGCTCCACATCACTTCGCATCACATCACTTCACATCGCTCCACATCACTTCATGTCACATCACGTAGCTTCACTTTACATCACTCCACACATCACTCCACATCACTCCACACATCACTCCACATCACTTCACATCGCTTCACATCGCTTCACATTACTTCACATCACTTCACATTACTTCACATCGCTGCACATCACATAGTTTATATAACTTCAATTCACTCGACATTGCAAAACTGTGCATCCACCTAAAGGTTTAGCAGATATTAGACAGTCTACTAATACTCTATTGAGTGCTAGTGGACATGTAGTTGCAAAGTTAATTACAATTAATAGAATGTCTGAAGTGGATTATCGAAAGTGTTACCCATTATATTACATTACACGTATATTATTCAATTTCAGCTTGTAACTTGTGTAACATTTACCATTTTACACCAGATAAAAAAAATTCAAGTTTTGCATGGGTGAGCATTAGCTCACAGAACTCTCCTTTTCTTCAGAAAATGTAAAAAAAATATATACTTTTAACTGTAATTCCATAAAAGTAAAACATAATGTACATTTACTGCCAATGTAATGTGTCACTCTGTCATCCTCTTACCTCACTTCCACTTGCCAAGGCAAATCCTCCCCCCAGGAGCAAGACTATGTTCCAGGGCATGCGTTCATGCACCACCTTCCAGTTTAGTAGAGTGGGCGTACCCTTCAGTTTCTTCTTCTTTTCCTGTTTTTCTCCTCCTTAATAAAACAGATGGAGCAGTAGCTCTGATTTAAGACCTGGATATGGATAAATATTCAGTGCAAATACTCTGAAAGCAGAACCACTTTACCTTCCTGCTCATCTTCTTCAGCTTCTTCATTATGTTCATCACACCAATTGATCGAATAGAGAAAGTCTATCCGAGATGGAATGAGGAAGAACATGGTTGACATGAAAATGGCCACAGTGCCATCGGTGACGTATCTTTATTGAAACAAAGAGAAAATCGGAAAAAAATTCAAATGCAATGACCAAAACTTTTGATTTTATTTGTTTAAAAGTAAGCAGTGGTGAAGTGTACTCACTGTCCGTTTTTGTTGAAGAGCTCGCTAGCCCAGCCCGGCATGAAGCCTGGTTCTCGTGTGAACCACAGGATCACCAGGATCACAAAGATGACAAGCACTCCGCCCTCAGCAAAACACATCGAACCCAACTTCTTATATTCATTCTTCATCACTCTGTAAGCGTCTTTGTCTCCCTCATTCTTCGAACCACAGCCAAACGATTTTTTAAAACTGGGGAAAAAAGTTCACCAAACAATAAATAAAAGACTGCTTAAAAACGCCAGATTAACATTAACAGGTCATTAAAATGTATTTTGTTTTTCCCCTGTAAGCTTCTTTTGAGATAACATTTCAAGACCAGCTTTTCCCATTAGGTACTTCTACTCAAATCAAAATTTTCAAGGGGGCATTATTTGATGTATGATTATTTAAATGAAATTGATAT